GGGAAAAGGGAGGGAGGAGGAAGGATGGAGGAGGGGGGAGGGAGGAGGAGGGGGGGGGGAGGGAGGGAGGGAGGGAGGGAGGTGAGGATCCCTCCGGCTCCTCGGGAGGGCGCCCCCCTCGCGGCTCCCACCACGACCCGCGCGCCGCCGAGGTTCCTGCGGTTGCTGGCGAAGCTGAGCCTGGGTTTGGGCGCGCGGTCGGAGGAGGCCTGCGCCCAGGCACGGCCTCGTCGTAGGAGAATCACGACGGAAGGTTTTTGTCTCCTCCTCCTCCTCCTCCTCAGCTCGGTACGCTCGTCTCCTCCTCCTCCTCCTCCTCCTCCTCCTCCTCTTCCTCCTCCTCCTCCTCTTCCTCCTGCTGAGCTTTTCAATCCCCCTGCTAGGCTGGGAGAGTGGAGCGGCCACGCGGCCGCGCTGCTTCAGCGTTGCAGGGATGTCGTCACCCACAGCCCTCCTGGTCAGTCCGTCGTCTCTGGGGAACCTGAGTATGCCCTGGATGCGGTCGCCCAGGCCCAAGCTGTGGCCGAGAGCGAACATCGTAATGCTGAGAATCGTAAGTGGGTGTCATGGCTTAAGACCAACATTGAGTCTGGGGCTCGGCACGCCCATGGGGTGGTTCGGGGGGCCCCTGCTTGGACCCCCACCACTACCCTCAGCGTCAAAGGCGAAGTTGTTTCGGACCCACAGGCCCTCCTTGAGTCTGAATGTGCTAAGTTTTCTGATCTTTGGCATGCCGAAGACCAGCAGGCTCCCCCGGCGACAGGTGCCGGCTTTGAGGTGCTCGAGCCCCTGCCCGAGTTGACCCCAGCCGACCTTCGTCACGTCTCTAGGTCTTTCCCGAAGCACACGGCCTCCTCGGTCGACGGCTTCCATGTTAGCCACTTCCAGCACCTCTCGGATCAGGCCCTTGTCGTCCTCTCTCGCCTCATCGCCACGTTCGAGAAGTCAGGGCACTTGCCAATGCAGATGCGCGTGCTGCTGCTCATCATGCTTGCCAAGCCCGACGGTGGTCACAGACCGATAGGATTATTCGTGTCAGTGTATCGTCTCTGGGCCCGCGCTCGTCGTGAGTATGCTCGCAGGTGGGAAGCGGCTAACAGCAGGGACTTCTTCGCCGCGGGCTCCTTTGCCTCGAGCGTGGACACTGTCTGGCGGCAAAGCGCTCGAAGTGAGAAAGCTGTTCTCCCGATTTATGCTCCAGCTCGGTTCTTTGGGACCTTCTCAAATTCTATGAATCGGTCGACTTGGATCTTCTCTTGCAGCATTGCCGCCAGCACGGTTTCCCCATGCAGATTGCGAGAGTATGCGATGTTGCTTACCGCGCCTGCCGCTACATCGCCATGAACAGCAGGGTCATCGGGCCCAAGTTCGCATGGCGAGGTCTTGTGGCAGGCTGCGGCTTCGCGACCACTTTAATCCGTGTCTTCAGCTTAGCCGCCATGGATGGACTTAGCTTGCCAAGATCGGTCTCGTTGAAGATATATATCGATGATTACACCTTGTCGTGCCAAGGGACCGCTTCGACGGTCGTTAATGACCTCCTGGAGGGGGCCATTAAATTGCAAGTGGTCATCGAGGGCGATCTTGGCTGCGCGATCGCTGTCAAGAAGGCGGCAGTTCTCGCCTCACATCCTTCTGTTGCTAAGGCCGTGCGCCAAGGTCTTGGCACGGTGGGCGGAGCGCCGTGTGACTCCGCTGTCAACCTCGGCATCGACGATGCTGCTGGCAGGCCCCGTCGTGTCGCTCGTCGTGGAGGCAGGTTTAAGGTTCGTAAGACCCTGTTTTCGGCCAAGGTTGCTCGTCTGGCTCGTCATAAGAGAACCCTCGGTCGACACTCGCGTCGAGTTTTCACGACTGGGCCCCTTGCCAGCCGAACCTACGGTTGCGAGGTGCACGGCACCTCGGACCATGAGCTTTTCACCCTTCGGAGAGCCATGGGTCGTTTCTTGCAGCCCTCCGCTGGAGGGAGATCTCTCACGGCAGCTCTGCTGTTTGCCGCCGGCCCCACCTGGTACGCGTCCGTCGCGCCCATTGTGAGGCGGTCTAAAGAGATCTGGGCCTGCATGGTGGGGGCCTACCAGTTCGGCCTCAACTTGGCCGAGCTCCGCGGTGCCTGGGCTGTGGGTTTTTCGGGGCCTCTCCAGCCGTGGCGTCGTGTTCGCGGCCCTGTGGGGGCCCTTCGTCTCTCGGTGGAGCGTCTTGGGTGGAAGATGCCGAGCTTCAGCATGCTCGTCGACGACCTGGGGGTGTAAGTTTCCCTTGCCCTGGTTTCGCCTTCCCTCCTGAAGCGTCTCCTCCGCGCTGCTGTTTTGAGGACTCTTGAACGTGATTATGGGCGGTCCCTGGGCCTGGACCGTAGAGTCTGTTTCGACGTGGCCCTTGCGGCCATGAGTTCTTCAAAATTCTCTCCCTTCGAGAAAGGGTGCATTAGAGGTCTTGTCTGCCAGGCGCCCTGGACCAAGGCCCGAGCCGAGGACCACGGCTACATCATGCTTGACGCGTGGTGCCCGTTGTGCGGCGTGGCAAGGGACACCATTCTCCACAGGTTGTGGTGCTGCCAGCACGAGTCGGTCGCCCAGGCCCGAGAGGACATCCTCGGAGAAGGGTTCCAGTTTCGGCCGCTGGAGTGCGACTCGCTGTCGGATGCTGACAAGATAATGTACACGATGGGGCTGTTTACCCACCCTGGTGACATCTTCCCACCACCATCGATGTGCGAGCCCAGTTATGAGCATTTTGACGATCCTGATAAAGACGATTATAGAGTTTCGGGGAATATCTTCATGGATGGTTCTTGTATACGCTCGGTCATAAGAGAATTATCGAGGACGGGGTGGAGTTATGTCTCGGTGTCCGATTCTGGGCAGGAGCTGGGTCATGTCTATGCCCCCCTCCCCTACCCCATTCCCCAAACGGCTCAGGCTGGTGAATTTGCTGCTTGCACTGCTGCTTGCCAAAATGCTGTCTCTCCAGCTGTGGGGTATAGCGATTGCCAACATGTAGTATATCTGTGGGCCCTCCCTCGTAGTGAACACTTGTCGTATAAGCGAGTGCACTCGGGTATGTTTGTTTGGACCACAGACAGTCAAATGGGGCCCATTCATAAAGTGAAAGGCCACACGTCGGACGAGCAGGTGGGTAATGATGCCTATCTGAAGTTCTGTAAGACGGGGAACGACCTCGCCGACCATTATGCTAAGATTGGGGCCCTAGCTCACGAGAAGCCGTGCCCTGAGCAGCAAGAGTAGCTTGATAAATGCTTGTCGGTCGTTCGCAAGGTTTTTGTTTTGGCTGCCTGTGTGCTGCCTCTCTGGCCTCCGCTCGACGTGTCGGAAGCCACCCGTGCGCCCGTCGAGCCGAAACCAGTGCCAGTCAAAGTGCCCCATCTTTGGGAGAAGGTGGGGAGTTTCTGGCAGTGTAATCACTGCCTCACGGTGTGCCGTGGGGTTTTCCCGCGGAATAATTCGAGTTGCACCAAGAAGCATAAGCTCCAGGTTGACGTCCTGCAGCAGCTGGATCACAACTGTCTTGGATTAGCGTGTTCGGACGGCGGCATTGTCTGTGTGTGTGTCCGTTGTAAGGCGTTTTCCATTGGCAATTACGTTCGCTACCTGGCTAAACCGTGCCCAGGTAGGCCTCATAATATTAGGTGCTCTAAGTATTACTGGGACAGAATTTCGACTGGCAAGCACCCCAAGCTTTCGGACGTCTGGCTTGATGCGGATGCTAACAGTGTTGTTCGTCTCTTTAATATCTCCTAGGCCTGTATCTGGCCCAGCCTCTCGGTCTCGTGTCGCGGGGGCGTGGCCCTGATATAAGGTTTCATGGCATGTATGACCCGTCTGTGCCATTTAAGTGCCGTGCTCGACGGCCGCCTGGCTCCCAGTGCCAGGCCGACTGCGGGACGCCGTGGAGAGCAGCGTAGCGGTAACAATCCCCCCCTCTTCCTCGCCCCCCCTCCTCCCTCCTACGCCCTCCTCCTCGCCCCCCCCCTCCTCCTCCTCCTCCTCCCCTCCTCCTCCTCCTCCTCCTCCTCCTCCTCCTCCTCCTCCTCCTCCTCCTCCTCCTCCTCCTCCAGCTCAGGAGCCGCCGTCGAGGCGGCGGCCGACGGTCGCAGCGCGAAGGCGGCAACTGCAAGGCCCCAGAAGGCCTGGTTTTCGGCCTCCAGGGGCCTTCGCCGGGCCGCGGGGCCGTCAGACAACGATTCGGGGTGAACCACCGGCCCCGAGGAGAGGGTCGGGATCTCCAGGGACCCCGTATTGAAGAAATCTGGGCATCGCATGTCTGGGCACGCAGGCGCGGGAGCGGCTGTTCGCGGTCCCGCCGTGGATGGAGCTCCTGCAGGAAGCCACGGGCACCGATCTGTGCGTGGGGAGGGCGTAGTTCGAGGAACAGAAAATCGCACAAGCATAAACGTTCGGCGCTCCGCGCGGATTTCTCGGGTCGGCGTCTGGGATGCCCTAGCGGCGCTTCCAGCGCCGCCCCTGGCGCGCTAAGGGCCGATCCAAGAAATCCGCGCGGAGTTCCCAAAGTTTTTGGTTATGCGTTTTTTTCTTCTTCACGTATTGCTCTCTGGTCGTCATTTTCCACCGGCGCGGCGACTCGGCGGCCGCCGCGAGGGCGCTGCAGGGGAGCCGACGAGTCGGCCACCAGCCGCCCGCGTGCACGCTGGCGCTGCTCGCGGACCTGCTGCTGCAGGACGGCGACCTCCGCGGCGCTGCGGACCTCCTGTGGGAGGCGCGGCAGGTCGCGGCGCTCGCTGCGGAGGGGCCAGACGGCCAGGAGGGCGTGCCCGCGGGCGACACCGAGGGCCGAGTCGCTGCAGACGGCCTTCCGAGCTGGATCTCGGCCCGCGAGGGCCACCTCGCCGCGATCGTCGCCCCGCACGCCGTGGCACTCGCGTGGCTTTGCCCAGCCACGGCGGGCAGCGGCTGGGCGCCGGGCCAGCCCGCGCCCGCGGAGGCGGCGCCAGAAGGCCCTGGGGCCCCTGCGCGCTGGCGCCTGCGGCGGGGCGACCCCGCCGACGCCTTGGTTGTGCTCCAGGACGGCTTGGCGCTGATCGACAGGGCGGCGGCCCGCGGCGCTGCTGGGCCGCGGTGCGGCCTCGATCGCAGGGCTCGGGCCGCCAGTGAGTGGCTGCTGCGCCCGTGTGCGCGCCTGTGCCAGGCCCGCGCGCCGGACGGCGGGGAGGCCGGGGACGGGGGCGTGCATTTTGTACAGTTGCGGCAGGCAGTTCAGGCGGCCAGCCTGGAGGCCGCCAGCAGCGCCTCTGCGCCGCCAGCGCCTCGGGCAGCATCGGCAGAGGCTGTACCAGAGGTGACGGATCCAGACCAGCTCGATGCCTTGCGCAGCGTGCTGCGAGTGCTGCAGGTCCTGCGCGACCACCGGCGTGCCGTGCGGGAGGATTTCGACGAGGCATTTCGGGCCCTCGGCAGGCGGCGGGCCGAGAGGCCCGGGGTGGTGCTGGCCGCGTTCCAGTCCCTGGAGCGCCTCGCCGCTGCGGGCAGCGAGCCACTGGAGGCAGAGTGGCACAGGTTGGAGAGAGAGCGGCGCGCCAGCTCTCGGACACACGATGAACCTAACTCGGGCGGCGTCGCAGCAGACTGGACGGAGCGGGAGGAGGAGGAGGAGGAGGAGGAGGAGGAGGACGCGGCGTGCGACGGCAGATCGGATGATGGAGCCCAGGGCGCAGCTTGCTTCTATGAGCCTGGGGACTTGCACGACGACGAGGGCGCGGCCGACTACCTCGTTAGCCACCCCAGGCCCGACAGGCCGAAGGACGGCGTGGCGAGCGCAGGCAAAGACGGGCCCGCGCTCTGGGACGACAATCTGGCCGGCCGCGGGCCGAGCCTTGCAGTACCTCGGGGCCGCCCGGCGCGCGGGCCTGGGTCGAGGGCAGGCCCGCGGGCTGTTGCGGCCGAGGAGGAGCTGAGGCCGTCGCAGGCGCTCGGCGCGCCCCCTGACCCGCACCTGGCTCCAGACGCCGACACGTACGCGGCCGCCATCGAGGCGCTCTTCAGTTGCGGCGGCGCGGCGGAGGCGGAGCGTCTCTTCCAGCGGTGCTGTGCGGATATGCTGCCCAACCCAGCCCTGTTCAGCGCCATGATCTTCGGGCGGCTGGCCTGCGGCGATGGGGCTGGGGCCGCCGACGCCTTGTTCAGGATGGACGAGAGCGGCTTCACGCCGCACTTCCGCTTCGTCTCGCGCTTCCTGCGCCTGATGGGGCCCTTCCACAAGGACGGGCTGAGGGTCATCGACAGGCTTGGGGTGCGCGGCCCAGCGGCTGCGCGCTTCAAGCTGGTGCACTGCCTGATGGAGGCCTGCTGTTCGAGCCCCGAGCCCAGCGAGAGCGCGCTGGAAGTGCACCGCGCGCTGCTCTCATACGGCTACGAGCCGACGCCGGATACGCAGTATGCCCTGCTGAAGGCCCTCACGGGGTGCGCGGACGCCGCAACCGCTCAGCGAGAACGCCAGCGGCTCGCCGCGGAGGGCGTGCTGGTGCAGCACCCGTCGTTCGAGATCGTGCTGTACGAGTGTTTCGGCCTCAGCGGTAACCGGAAGCGCGCAGCGCAGATCATGGACGCGCGGCGGTGGTGGGTCCGGCAGGTGCTCCTGAAGATGACCCCGGCCTTGCTGCAGGCGCTGAGCGAGGCGTGGGAGGAGCACCGCGGCGCGACCGAGCCCGAGAGCTGCCTGGAGGAGCTCACGTGGCCCATGCCCGCCTTCAGCGCAGCCCTCCCCCAAGCGCTCGCTGCCCTCCACGCAGCGCAGTACCTCCTGTGGCGGTACTCGCTGGTGCGCTCCAGCGAGCAGAAGGCCAGGCTGCAGGCTGACCTCGACCGGCACCTCGCAGAGGCTCCGGCCACGCGGGGCCCGGCCGCGTGCAGCGAGGCCGCCGCGGGCCGCGGACCGATGTGGAGCAGCATCGGCGAGGCGGACCGAGACGTGGGCCCAGAGCTGGGAGAGGAGTTCGAGGATGACGACGGAGGCGCAGCCCACGAGGGCGCCTTGGTGCCAGACGCCACCAGCGACTCGGCGTACGAGGGTTGGGACCCGTTCGGGCTCGCCGTGCGCATCGTGTTCGCCCTCCCGGGCCTGGAGGCGGCGGAGAACGTCCAGCTGCGGCTCGTGCGGATGCTCTTCACGGCAGCTCAGCGCGCTGGCGCCGTCCCGGCTGCCGCGCACGCGGACTTCGCGGAGGCGAACGCGGAGGGTCTGTCGCCAGATGTGCTCACGGAGCTGATGCTTCGCTGGGCAGAGGCCGCCGGGGACGCGGGGATCTTTTCTACCGCTGAGGCCCGAGTGCGGCTGGCGAAGCTGGTACTGCGGCGGTACTTGGGGCGTGACACTGGCGGCGAGCCGGTGAGATTGAGCACAGCTCTGCGCTTCGTCCGCACGCACTCGTTGGCACCGCTTCTGGAGGACGAGGTCCTGATGCAGCCTGTGTTGGCGTCTTTCTGCGATGGGTACGTGCAGCACGCGATCACGCTGTGCGCCGAGGACCCCGCCACGCAGGGGCGCCTCGTGGCATTCGCGGTTCGGAGCGGCAGGCGGCGTGCGGCGGGCCAGATCGCGGACAGGTTCCAGCTCGTCGCGCGGGCTGGCGAGCCCCGGGCAGAAGCGGCTCGCGCGGTGCCAGCGGGCTGGCTGCCTGCCGAGTTCTTCGAGCTGTGCGCCCGATGCGTGCAGGAGGCGGAGGACACCGAGGAGCGCGAGCTGAGGGCCGCGAACGCTCAGCGCGCGGCCGCGGAGGCGGCAGCCGACGGCGGCTGTCTTCAGCTGCCCCCCGCGGTGGCTGGCTGCGTGCTGCTGGCCGCGGGCCCCGCGGAGCTGGAGAGGGCAGAGGACTGGTTCACGAGCGCCGGCCTCTGTGGCGGCGAGGGCGCGGGGGCGGATGGAGGTGCGGGCTCACTTGGATTCCTCCGGCTCGATTCGACCCGACTTGATGTCGAGCGATTCCGAGTCCGATTCGGTTCGACTTCGGATTCCGATGTGTCCATGTCTTTCGGTCTCTCAACGGAGGCCTTACTACCAGCCTGCCGATTCCCGTCGATTCGACTTCTCCCGACTTGGCTGCCGATCTCCGCCGATGCGACTCATTTCGATCGCGGATCTGGCTTGTCGGATCGATTTGGGGATATCTTGCGGAGGCGCGGGCACGGCGGCGCAGCTGACGAGGGATGGCTGCGCGGTGGGCCTGGACGCGGAGTGGCGCCCGATGCTGGAGAAGCGAGGGGGCATGAAAAAGCACCGCCGCAGCGGCCAGGTGGGGTGCATGGAGCCCTGCGCGGTCTTGCAGGTGGCCGCAGACGGCTTCGCGGTCGTCTTTGACCTCCTTGCGCTGGCCCCCTCGGAGTCGCCGAGCGCGGGAAAGTTGTCTGCGCTGCTGGGGAGCATCTTCCGGAGCTTCCGTGTGGCCAAGCTCGGCTTCGGGCTCCAGAACGACCTGCAGAGGCTGGCGGCGTCGTATCCGCACATGGATTGCTTCAAGTGCATCAACCAGGTGCTCGACGTGCAAGAGGCATACTTCAGCCTCCAGGGCCGCGGCGGCAGCACCACCGGTCTGTCGGCCCTCTGCTCCCAGCACTTCGGCAAGCCCCTCAGCAAGCGCCTGCAGACCAGCGACTGGGGCGCGAGGCCGCTGTCGCAGGAGCCAGGGGGAACAACAAGAATGGTGGAGGTCCGCGCGGATTGCTCGGATCGACGCTGTACCAGGGCGGCACCAGAGGTACCGCCAGGGGGCTCCAGCGCCGAGCCAAAACCCGCGCGGATCTCCGAAAGTTCATGTTCCTGCCATCGTGCCTTCCCCTGGACGCGGCCTCGTGGGCGACTGACGCGTGCGGGTGCGTACCCGCGGCCTCGCGGGCCGGGCCCCTGGACCGCGACCCCACGGATACGGGGCGTTGTCTCGCGGATGCCCCGCGCGGAACGCACCCGTGCGACCGCGTCTCCGCGGGGCCGTGCCCCCGAGCCCGGATCGAGAGGGAGTGGACGTGGATGCGTTCGCCGCTCGTGAAGGCCGCTGTCCCAGACCCCCGACGCCACGACTGTTCATCACGTCGACCCCCCGAGCTCCCGACCCATTCCCCAGGACGGGTGTTTCATCCCGAGTCGTTTCTCCATAGCGGTCCCGATATCCGGTGAGGGCCCGGAGAGGCTGGAAATAGAGAACAACGTCCGTCGTGTTCTCTGTTCCTGATTTGAGTACAGACGGGCGATGCCATGATTTTTCATGAGGTCGACCCCCCGAGGTCTCGACCCACTCCCCAGGACCGGTTTTTCATCCCGAGTCGTTTCTCGGCGGTCCCGAGATCCGGTAAGGGCCCCGAGAGGCCGAGGACGGCCAACAAAACCTGCCGTCGTGATGTTTTCGCCGACGAGATCATGCCTGGAAGGGGGCCCTGGGGGCGCAGGAGCAGCTGCGCTACGCCGCCCTGGACGCGCACTGCCTGCTTGGCCTCGCCCGCGCGCTGCCGGCCTCTGTCGAGCTGCCGGCGCTGTCGCTGGAGGCGGAGGAGGGAAAGGGCACACACAGACACACACACAGAGAGACGCCGATGCCCAGGAAATTGCAGGAACTGCGGAAGGCGAGCATCCCCAAAATTTGAAAAGGTGTATAAATATACGAGGCGCTCCAGAAAGGGCCTTGCCTTCAAAGATCGAAGGAGTAGTCATCTCGGAAGGCCGGCGGAAGTATAACGAGGCCGCCTCCGCCGGCGGAAGCTGGCGGAAGGCCGGCGGCAGGCGTCGGAAGCCAAACAAAAACACCTCACGTTTTGTGGTCCAGGGCTTCCGGAATCCGCCATCTGTTTGTTCGTGTGTCCCTGGGCCGCCCCCTCGGAGGTGCGGCCCAGCCCCAGCGGCCAGCTGCTCGTGCGCGCCACGAGGGCGGGCCACGCCGGGGCGCCCGGCGGCACGCACGACGGGGAGGCTCGGCACGGTGCTGCCTCGCTCCTCGGTCCTGGTTTCTCCTCGCTCCTCTTCGATCCTCCTCGCTGCCCCCTCCTCGTTCTTCCTCCTCCTCCCAATTCCCCTTCTCGTTCCTTCTTCTCCTCCTCCTGCTCCTGCTCCTCCTCCTCCTCCTCCGCCTCCGCCTCCTCCTCCTCCTCATTCTGCTCCTCCTCTCCCTCCTCCTTCTCCTGCTCCTCCCTCCTCCTCGTCCTCCTCCTCCTCCTCCTCCTCCTCCTCCTGCTCCTCTCTCCCTCCTCCTTCGCCTGCTCCTCCTTCCTCCTCCTCATCCTCCTCCTCCTCGTCCTCCTGCTTCTCCTCCTCCTCCTCCTCCTCCTTCTCCTCCGCCTCCTCCGCCTCCTCCTCCTCCATTCATGTTCCTTATACGTGATTTCTCCATGTCGCACCCTGAGGCCAGTTTTTCAGGCGGGCAAGGTGTTTCGCATGAGGTTCCCTCACCATTTATGACCCTGAAGCTTAAACATTGGAAACAGCTTCACAGATGGTGGGCGGGTGGTTTTCAAAATGTGGCGCTCGCCTTAGCGCCGCGCACATCCGTTTTTTAACAGTTGCAAGGGTTTCACGGATTGAGGGCGGGTCGTTTTCAACATGTGGTTCTCGCCTTCGCGCCGCGCACATTCGTTTTTAAAATTTGCAAGAGCTTCACGGATTGAGGGCGCTTCCCCTTCAAATTGTGATTATCGCTTTAGCGCCACGCACATTCGTTTACAACATTTGCAAGAGTTTCAAAAATTCAGGGCGACCCGTTTTCAAAATGTAGTTTTCGCTTTAGCGCCGCGCACATTCGTTTCATGATTGCAAGCGTTTCATGGATTGAGGGTGGTTCATGTTCAAATGTGGCTCCCGCCTTAGCGCCACGCACATTCGTCTTAAACTGTTGCCAGACTTTCACGGATTCCCATGATCAAAGTACTAGAGATGGTGCTTTCGAAGGATTCAGAGTTTCGTGGGTGCAACAAGTATGTTGATTCGCTGTGTTGAAGTCCCAAAAACAACGTTCTGGCACGATTCAGGATCATCAAAGCGCAACAGTCAGGTTGATCCGTGGCGCTGGAATCCCGAGAACCATGTTTTGGCATGCTTCAGGGTCTTCAAACGGCTGTCTTCCAACGAGGCAGTTCCCTCAATGGAAGTGAACCGTTGTAAGGGCATCTGAAGAGGGAGCTTGGAGGGAGGGTTTATTCCAACATCGTTGGTGAATCTTGGGTTTACACTGGTCCTCCTTCTCATCCTCCTCCTCCGCCTTTTCCTCCTCCTCCTCCTCCTCCGCCTCCTCCTCCTCCTGCTCCTCCTCCTCCTCCTGCTCCTGCTCCTGCTTCTCCTCCTCCTCCTCCACCTCCTCCTCCTCCTTCTTCTCCTCCACCTCCTCCTGCTCCTCCTGCTCCTCCTGCTCCCTCCTCCTCCTCCTCCTCCTTTTCCTCCCAATTTCCCCCTCCTCGTTCCTCCTCCGCCTTCACGGTCCGTCTCCTCCTCCTCCTGGAGAGGGGTGCGGGCCGCCGGAGGTCCTGCAGAGGTCCACAGAGGCCTCGGGAGGCACCTCCACATACCCAGGAGGGCGTTTTACTTCAGACGCAGGCAAGGTGCCATACATCCGGCATCTCGAAAAAATCGTGAGGGAGGTTTTTCATAGTTCTCGGCTCTTCGGGGCCCTCGCTGGGCCCAGGGACCGTCGAAGAACAGCTCAGGATGAAACATCTGTCCTGGGGAAGTGGTTCAAGCAGTGGCGAAGCGTCCTGACCTACTTGACCGCATGCCCCGGATAATAAAGAGTACCCCACCCTTAAGCCAGTGCTGATTATCTCCAGCCAAGACACTCTTGGTCGGCGGTGAGGGGCGGCGAGGCCTTCTTTTATTATCCACCAGGCCAAGTATGACTAGCTTATTGGCAGGAACGGCAATTTTGTCACGAACGTGTATCAGGGCCATCGGACTCTCTCACCAGTTCAGCCTTCCCAAATCACGGGCGCGTGGCAGGGCCTTTGGATTCTCATCGTTTTAGCCTACTAAGTCGTGAACGTGTGGCAGGGCAATCGGATTCTCACCATTTTAGCCTTCACAAGTCATGAGCGTGACAGGACCGTCGGATTCTCACCATTCTGCGCCTCAAGGGCTATGGTTAGGGGGGGCAGGCCCCCTTGAATTGGAACTGCGCCCAGGTAGGACAGACACAATAGACTTTGGAGCAGCCCTTAAGAAGGTTGTCTGTACACCGTACATCCGTACATGCGAGCTGCCAAGAACCCCAAAGTTTATTATCCTCAGGTAGTGGGGCGCTTGTGGTTTGCATTACATGTGTTTAGAACATGTTTTGCTGAGACCGACTTGATTGAACAGATCGGCTTTATGCTCTAAGAACATTATTTGTGTTATTAGAGCGCCCTTGTGTTATAGGAATATGTTTATGGTAGGCCTACACGAATGCCGGGACGGTCGGTCCCTGCTCAAGTGGTCGAGAGGTCGGGGGCCCGTGTCTCGAAAAAGTCGAAACGATTGATGCTTGGGCCCCCATCCCCGTGATGTCAGCATCGTCAAACCTATCCCTATCCCCACTGGGCCATGGTATCTCAGCCCCACCAGCACCCCCCCGGTTGGGGATAGGCCCTTCGAAGCTCGAAGTGACCAGCCTTTATCATACCCACTATCCCCACCTCGGGCGGTAAATCGGCCAGTAGGGCCAAGGCTATGCCAGTGGTGATGGGGATCGGTCCAACGATGCTCAGAGGCGCTGGAGGAGGTGGACCGGCGGATCGCGGCGAAGGGCGCAGAGGTCCTCAGGGGAGTACGACATATCAATAGGCTTTGGAGGTTTTCGTTGGTTCCTGGAAGTGTTCCTCGCCTCTGGGTGCGTTCGAACAGCTGCGCATCGCCGAGAACCTTCTGTGGGGTACCCAGATCGTCCCAAACGGACGCAGGAGGTCCGAATTATGGCCCGAAGACCCCCAGAGACAACGTTATGGCCCGAAAACCACCGAACCCCCCAGACTCAGAGGAGGAACGTGTACCGATGCCGCTGCTCGTCCTGGAGAGTTCTCGTCACCACGACGATTCTCCTCGAGGTCTTGGTCAATGCGCTCCCTGGGAGAGGGTCAGGGCGCAGCGGTATCGGTACCTTTCCGCTCCCCCAGGTCAGGGCGATGAAGGCCGCTGGAGCGCCGAGAGCGACGGTGCAGGCAGAGGTGGAGGTGCTGCTGCAGCTGAAGGCCCGCTTCCGGGAGCTGGCGGGCATCGACTGGGCGCCGCACAGCGGGGGGTGATGGCCTCTCCTCGTGCGGGCCGCTTTCTCGGCGCGGGGAGCTCCTGTGGCGCGGGACGCGGGCCGCCCTCCTTCCTCCCCCTTGCTCCCTCCGCCTCCGGCTTCCCTCCATCTCCCTCCTTCCGCCCTCGTCCCCTGCACCTCTACGCCGTCCCACCCTCCCTCCTCCATGCCTCCTGCTCATCCTGGCCTCCCCCCACTCGTGCTGCACCACGTGTCTTGCAGGTGCCATGGGCCGTGGATCACTCCTTGAGAGGCCACTTCCGCTTCGCGCAGGAGCGTCCCGCCAGCCTGTTCTACGAGGATTGGTCGACCCTCTTGGCGGCCTGATTACTGACTTATGTGTGTTGGCGGTGGCGTCGCTTGGATTGGACATCGCCGTCTTGTAGCAAGGCCTTCGAAAGGATGGCTACCCCTGCCTCTGGTACAGCTGGCATGCCAGCGGCATCGGCAGTGCACCAGTTGGGCACGCCCCACTGACGCGAAAGGTGGAACCTCGGCTCGGTGGATCCTTGTCCGAGTGAAACCGTCTGGGTGTCGTTTGACAGGGATGTTCAATAGAAGGTTGCCGACGGTTCGAACCTCAGCATCGCGGCGGCACGGTGGGGAGACCGAGCCAGCCCTAGCCCGCTGGTGTAGGGAGCTGCGACTGACTCTAGGCTGCCCCCACGCCGACCGAGATCGCGCAGTGACCAGTGGACTCCGCCCCGCAAGCGCGACGTGGCTTTACAGTCCGTCACCCCGTGGCCCCGGCGCCGGCAAGCTCGTGACAACGGTCGGCACCGCCGCCAGCCCCGGCGGGCGCCCCCCCCACCAAGGGCCCCCGGGACCGCAGGGCTGCCGGGCAGAGGAGGAGACCTGTGCCCGTACGCGCGGCCCTGCTGGCGTCGCCTCTCGGCCACGGGGGGCTCTTGCGCAGGCGGCGCCTCAGTCCAGCACCCCCTGCTGCATGCAGCTGGTTTCGGCCCCACCGAGTGGCCCATTCCTGAATACATGGCCGCCTCCGGCGCCGGGAGGCGCCGGGAAAATCAGCTATGTGAGCTGATTCTCCCCCCCCCCCCCCTTGCTATCCCCCCCTTCCGCCCAGCCCGACCATCGAGGAGCATCCTGGAGCACCTTGCGAAACATACGCACACGAAGTCGAAGAATGCACAGGGAACGGACGTCCGAGCGATGGCGAGCCTCGCGTCGCGAAAGAAAAACACAACGGGAGGTGCTCGGCCATTTTCTGCCTCTGGAGGCCTTTGCTGGGCCCTGGGGCCCTGAAGAAACTGCTCGGGATGAAAAGAAAGGCTCCAGGCCTCTAGGGGTCAGCGATGCGAGAAGAGCACGACGTCAGGCAGCAGCAGTGCCTACCCTCGGCCAATTGCCCCAGAGGCCCTGCAAGAGATTGTTTTTTCCCCCTGGCGATAACGGGCGTGACCGGGAGTGGGGGGGAGGGGGGTGGGAGAGGGCCAGCCACGTCACGATTCGCGCCGGCGCCGCCCAGGAATGCTCAAGAATGGCTATTTCCCCATACGGCGCCGGCGCGAATCTCGACGTGACCAGTGGGGGCCTGAGTAAAAGGGGGAGAACCAGTCAGGGGCGTTATCGCAAATAGTCTGAAACATTTGCTCCACGAGGCAGCAGATGCAGCATCGTACTGCCTGGCGTGGGCGAGAAGCGTCATCGGACCCCGCCCGCCTCCAGCCGCCCCGCCTGCGGGGTCGACGTTCGGCAGCGCCTGCTGGTGGCTGGCCCTTTCGGGCAGCCCCCCCCCCCCGAGCAGCGTCTATTCAGTGGGCGAGCGGCGGAGTGCCATGTCGGGCGGCGCGGGCGCCATGTCGGCGGAGTCGCTCCTGCCCCCGCGGGGTTCTCCTGGGCAGCGGCAGGGCGGCCGGGTGGCCTCGAGCGGTGCTCGGGGCGCGCGGCCCAGGGGGATGTCGCTGCTCCTGCCGAGCCGTAAGGGCTGGCTTGGCGCCCGTCTTCGTTCACCGAGCGCGGTCCACTACTCGCAAAGTGCTTCCTCGCAAGCGTCCCCAAGATAATCGCTGTTCGATGCAATGGTTCTTGTTTGCTTCGATGCAATGGATCCAGGTCGTTTGCGAGCAGCTACTTTGCGGGTAGTGGAACGCGCTCGTCTATTCGCTGCACGGGCTCCGCCATCCGAGTGAGCGACGTAAGAAAACGGGGTCGATTGCACCGACATGGGCGCGTAAGCTGCCCGCGTAAGGTCTAGCGAAAGCGCCCTCGTTTCCAATATAGCGGGCCGCGCTGGGTGCCCGCGTAAGCCACCGCGTGAGGTCATTTGTGCCATCTCGCGTAAGCCCCGTTTTTGATCGTAGCGCAAGTGAAAAAGAATGGGGCACCTACAGAACTACAGGGGGAGGGAGGGAGGGAGGGAGGGAGGGAGGGGGAGGGAGGGAGGAGGAGAGGAGGAGGAGGAGGGAGGAGGAGGAGGAGGAGGAGGAGGAGAGGGAGGGATGGAGGAGGGAGGGAGGGAGGAGGAATGAGGGAGGACCCCCCGACTCGAGAAGCCAGGTCCGAGCGATCGAGGCCCAGCGCGACGAGGTGCGCGAGCGGGTGCGCGAGCTGGAGCGGCAGATCCAGGCCGTCGAGCGGGAGGCCGCCGAGGCTTGCTGTCACCCTCGTCGTCATCGCCGCCGCCGCCCTTGTCTCAGTCGCCACGGTTGGATTTGAATCGCAATCCTGGTCAGAGCGCACCCCGGGAAAAGTCCACGGAGTAGCGAGATGGGAATAGTCTTGTCGTGTCGTCGTCTTGCTCCTCCTCCGAGATTTTTGGGGGGCGGAGTGCTTTTATGTCCGAGCATTCTACCTCCATCTGGGGGTGCCAAGGGAGCCGCTTTCGGGCCCCAGGGCCACCGAGGATATGATCCAGGGATGAGAGTTGCCCTCGGGCAAGGGGTCGGGACCTCCTGTGGCCCATGGGGATTGAGCAAAAACAAGCAGTCCATTGAATGTCTGGGCCCTCCTCCTTCTACTCCTCCTCCTCCTGCTCCTCCTCCGGGGAGCGAGGGATGGGGAGGGGAGGGATACAGGATTACAGTGGGTCCGCGAAAAGAACCCAGACTGGGATACTTGCCGGGGGTGTGCAACTCTTCAGGTAGGCTGCAGACCGATGGGCCCCACATCTGTAGCCAAAGCCGAGAGAGCAGTGGCTGATTCGCACATGCGGCGCCCGGGCGCCAGAAGCTCCAGGCGAGCAGGAGGGCGCAAAAAGCCTGGCGACCGAGGACGTGGCCAAGCCACAATTTGTTGTTTGTTATCGGCAGCGCCGGCGGACGCAGGCGCGTGGATTCGGCACCGGCGGGGCGCACCCAGGCGATGGCGTCAAAACACGCGCGGAAAAGCAGAGGGCGGCCGCGGAGGCAGGGAGAGGAGGTCGGCCCGACCACCGAGGGTCGACGGGGTGGGGGTGCGCGGGCAGCCAGGGGCACCAGGAGCCAAGCCACGAAGCAGTACCCGAACGAAGGGAGCACAGGAGGGCGACGGCGAGCGGGGGGAGGGCGAGAGGGAGGGCGCGGAGCACGAGGAGGCGGCGGAGCGGGCCACCGAGGAGGGGAGGAGGAGGCGACAAGACGACGACGAGCTGCAAGGCGGGGAGGAGGAGGGAGGGGCCGGTCGGGAGTTTCGGCGTATAGTGCGTCGCGGCACCGGTTCTGGCCCACCACACTTGGGCGCGACACGCTATCCTCTTTGCGGTCCCCAGGCGTCCACGTGCCGAGCTGTTCCCAGCCTCCCACCCCGCGAAGCGGAGCGGTACGCTTTCCGCTTGCAAGGCATACGGTAGGTTCGTGTCGTGTCGACTGGCGGCGACCCCTCAGCGGCGCTCATTGTTGAACGCCGCGGGCGACCCACAATCGTTCGATGTGGAACGTTTTGGACGTTTCGGAAACGGCCGATCGTTCAAGATTGAACTATCCCCGCGGTGTCCGAAACCCACGCCGAAGTCGGCACGACACGAACTTGCCGTATTGTGTGTCGCTGGGACCGCCGCCGCGACACGCTAAGCAGAGGTTCCCGACCGTAGGGACCCAGACCCCCTCGGATCATGAAAACGTATCGGCGAATAGTTGTTGACAGGTTTCGGTCTTTGGGGGCCCTTACTGGGCCCCAGGACCGTCAAAAAACAACTCAGAGTGGAGAGCCCGTCACAGAGAGGCTTTCTAGACCCCTGGGGAGACCACGCTGCGAAAGAATCGCGATGTCGTGAGTCTAGGGAGGGGAGGAGAGGGATGAGGAGGAGGGGAGATCCCGCTCTCTCCTCTCCCCCCCTCCCTGCCTGTCGGTTTTTGGGGGTGTGCCCTGTGGCCGTCTCCCAGATGGGCTATCGCCCCATACCTTGGCATCGCTCGGACGTGTTCATTTTTGTTCGGCAAGGGTCATCGAGGAGCGTGTGACATCATCTTGCGAAACATACACGCGCGAAACCGAAAAGTGCACGGGGAGTGGACGTCCGAGCGATGGCGAGCTGCATGGGTGTTGAGGAAAGCCCTGCCGATGGGCACACACACACACACCTTGCGTGGCGGGCTTGGAGCTCTGGCCAACACGCCTGCCCCCAGTGAGCACCAGACTCAAGACGGGTCTGGTGCTCCGGCCGTGGATCAGGAGGAGGAGGAGGAGGAGGAGTACGCAGGAGATCGTCATTGTCCGCGGTGGTGCTTGGCCGTTCGCGCTATGACGTGCCTCGCTGCAGCGCTTGGCTGCGGCCTCGGTGGATTGTTGGGCTGAGGTTGTCGCCCGTCCCTCGGGGCGGCATCCCAGGGAAATGAAGATCGGGAATGTTGAGTTGGAGGGCGAGCACTGAAAAGAGGATATTCTACCTAGTTGACTTGCGCGTCGTAGCGACTCGTCGCCTGGAGTGGCTGATGATTGAGGAGGTCGATGAGTTGTTGCGCTGATTGGCGTTGTGCCTGAGACTCCGAGTGTTCGGCGTCGCTAAAGCGCAGAGCCTGCCTGACGGCGTCGTGAGAATGCCCGTCGCACTGCCGTCGCTGTGCAGTCAAAACTGGCATTCGGGACGCGCCACTGACGCAAGGCAACTTTGCATCTTTCGACTATGGGCATCCATTGCATGGTTTGGGCGTCCTTGGTCCAAGGGTCCCCTGGCACCTCGGTGCGTTCTCGGTGCGCTGCATCTGTGCACTCCCGCTTTGTGACTGGTCTCTTGTGTACCTCCCTCTGGTGCCCCTCCTCACCATCCGGTGGCACAACGTTGCTCATCGCCTTCATGGTGGACTTCTTCCTCCTGGACGTCGACCTGGTCGCGTTCATCCTCACGCAGCACTTGAGGACGGTGTTTACGATGCGCCGTCGACGGCAACACCACACCGCTCACCCTCCAGGTCTTCGCCTCCGGCTCCTGTCCAAGGCGTTCCTTTTCTTGTGCAAGCACCTCGGCACCGCCTGCACCCCGGCCCGCCCTCCGGCCGCCTGAGGCCCCGCCCGCCTATGGTCTGTCTCCCCAAGTAGAGCTTTGCGTGGCCCGCCTAGCTTTTAACCGGAAGAGGCTTGCTCTCGACCCGCAGACCAAAAAATTGTGTACCTCCCTCTGGCCGCACCCTTCACCGTTGTTCTTGACGCCCTTCGCGGCCTGGGCGGGGACCTGCTCTTCTCCAGGACGGCGGCGCGAGAGCGCGAAGGTACCAGGAAGCTGGGTGCACGTGGCGCGGCCGACCTGGGCGAGAAGTGGCATGTTGTCAGACGCTTTTCCACCGCGAGGCCCCTCTGATACGTGGGCTCCCGCATGCGTATCCAGCGCGTGGCCTCCGGACCTTTTACGCGCGAATCCTGCTGCGTGTGGTTCCAGCCTCCCGGTAGGCCTGCCCCGCGCGGCGCGACGTGCGGAGTCGGGCGGCAGCAGACGACCCCCTCCCAGCCTGCAGAGAGAGAGAGAGAGAAAGAGAGAGTCGGCCGAGCCAGGTGCGGTCGCGCCTCGTCTGACATCCTACCCTTCCCCATCCTTCTCCTCCCGCTCATCCTCCTGCTCCTCCTGCTCCTCCTGTTCCTGCTCCTCCTCCTCCTCCTCCTCCTCCTCCTCCTCCTCCTCCTCCTCCTCCTCCTCCTCCTCCTCCTCCTCCTCCTCCTACGCGTATGTTTCTTTGCTGTTTGGGCCATTACGCGCGTTATGGCCCGCCCGCCCCCCCCCCCCCTCCATCACGAAACGCTCCAGCCCCCAGGGCTGCCGCCGTGCGCATAGGGATCCGCATAGGAATCCGAATATGTATCCGCATAGGCATCTGGACAGAAATCCGCATAGGGATCCGCATGGGGATCGCATAACAGATATCCATCGGGATCCGCATAGGGCTCCGCATTGGGATCCCCAGGGATATCTGCACAGGGATCTGCATAAGGATATGTAAAGGGATCCGCGTGGGGATCGGCATAGGGATCCCCAGAGGCATCCGCATAGGGATCCGTATAGGGATCCGCATGGCAATTCGCATAGGTATGCTCATGGGGATCCGCTTAGAGATCCGCATAGGCATCCGCATAGGGATCCTCATAGGGATGCGCTTAGGGATCCCCAGAGGGGTCCTCATAGGGAACCGCACAGAGATCCGCATAGGGGCGGTGGTCGCGGGCAAGTTGCGGTACTCTCAGGCACTTGTGGTGTTCGTAGGAGAAAGAGCAATAGGAGGAGAAGGACGACGACAACGACGACGACGAGGAAGAGGAGGATGGAGAAGGGAGGCAAGGAACATACCGCTTATAGGCCACGTGGAGGCAACGATTCCTTCGCAGGCATGTGCTCACCACAACTCCTCGTCGCTCTTCGTTGTCGTCGTCGTCGCCGCCGCCGTCGTCGTCGTCGTCGTCGTCGTCGTCGTCACTCGTCGTCGTCCTTGTCGTCGTCGTCGCTCTTCGTTGTCGATCGTCCTCGTCCTCGTCCTCATCCTCGCCGTCATCGTCGTCACTCGTCGTCGTTGTCGTCGTCATCTTCGTCGTCGTCGTCGTTGTTGTCGGTCGTTATCGCTCGCGGCCGCTCGTCGTCGCCAAACGCCTTCGAATGCTTTCGAGGGCCTCTGGAGGCCTTCGACCTCCGGAAGGCCTCAGTAGGCTTCCAGAGGCCTCAGTAGGCCTCCAGAGGCCTCGGGAAACCTCCGGAGACCACAGGAGGCGTCGTCGTCGTCGTCGTCATCGCCGTCGCTGTCTTCGTCGTCGTCGTCGTCGTCGTCGTCGTCGTCGTCGTCGCTCGTCGTCGTCGTCGTCGTCGTCGTCGCTCGTCGCTCGTCGCCGTCGTCGTCGTCGCTCGTCGTCGCTCGTGGTCGCTCGTCGTCGTCGTGTCGTCGTTGTCGTCGTCGTCGCCGTCGTCGTCGTCGTCGTCGTTGCCGTGGTCGTGGTTGTTCGTCGTCATCGACGTCGTCGTCGTTGTTGCTCGTCGTCGTCGTGCGCGCGGACGCTGTGGTGGCGCCAGAACCGCACGGCTTGGAGGGCGCTCTACGTTATGCCCCCCTATCCGAATAACGCCCGCTATCGCCGCGAATGAAGAAATGCACTCTATTTTGCATGCGGCTCCCCTATTCTCTGATTATGCATACCACGAAGTGGTCTTTCTGTGGGAGTCGAAAGTCTGCTATGACACGCGTTCGCTGATAAAGAACAAT